GCTCCCGCTCCAGAAATTTGTGGCATCGCGAGTGATAGTTTTTAAGTTCAGTTTATTTATGAGGCGTTGTATGATTTTATGAGCGGTCGCTTCGTGTTTGCGTCAAGGAGCAATTGACTATATTAAACCTGAGGATTGTACTTAGATAAGATTAGTTTTAGTTTTTAGTTTTAAGATATCAATTGTTATACTGACATGCAGGTTAAAAAACCTGTTTAAAATACTGAATTGCCAAGACATGAACAATGTAAAAACACTTAGATATATATCATAACAATTAAGGCTGGTACGTTATTGCAGTAACTGGAGCACCTAGGTTAAAATGAAATGTAATTTATTTTGAATTTGGAACAAATAAAGAGTTAAAAAAAAAAAAAAAAAAAAAAAAAAAAAAAAAAAAAAACCTGAGGATTGATCCCCGTAAGGCGGGTCAGAGCTGCTTGCAAAGGATTCACTTGGACTGATTTGGTGAGATTGTTCCTTTTTTTTTACTTTTATCTATTTAAACTTAATTTCTATGAATCCGTAGCATTTGGAATCATTTGATTCGGATGAGACTTAACTTTCATCCTATGGATTTTAGACATCCTATTTTTTTTAGGAGACATCCTACTAAATACGTGCCATCTACAGAGCAGGAATTGCTTTGATGATGGAAGTGTACACGCAGTACCAATATACATTTTATATCGGTACTACGTGTATGCGGGGCGTGTTGTAAGTTCATGCATTGTTTCTTCTCATTGTAGACAGCGAATAACGAATAGCGAGCAAGGGCGCTATAACCTAGGCGAATACAGCATTCCCTCCGTATGGGTTGCGTCCGCACACCGCTCTCTGTTGTCCTTCGACTGAGGTCGGCTGGATCGATTGAGGGATGGCAGTGGGTGGGCGGTGCCGTCCACGCTTGTACGGAGGGAGAACTGTACGCTCGAACACAAGGGGTAAATACCTGTGTTCCATCCCAGGAGATCGGACAACCAAGGAGTGTACATTAACTTTCTTAGCTCTGTCACTCCCAACGATTTATATAGTCTATTTTCAAATCCTGCATGCGGAGCGGTTGGTACGGTATGTCCCCGCTCTTTAATTACCTGTGGATTAAATGTTAACCACTGTCTATACTTATTAAGTAGACATGGTAAACATTCACTTCCACAAAAATTAACTAAACGCTACACAGTAGGCCTGGCCGCTTTATTGTTTGTTTCACATCCTTGATGTGCAGCAGGCATTAATAATGACAAGAAAAATGATAAATGTATTTCTATCATTTTCCAGGATTCTTTCAAGTACTGGCTGTGTATGTGTAGACTAGACTAGACTAGACTAGACTAGTAATTTACATGTAAACTTCAAATGGCTTGTGCGAAGTCTGTTTCTAACCAAATGAGTTGTAACTTTGAGAGGCTAATCAGGACCCGATTTGAAACCATTTAAGCACTGTGGAGCGAAAAAGTCAAATTTTGCATCAGTCTAGTGCGGACGTTGATAATGTCGGAGAAGAATTTCCCGTCGATTAGAACGTGGTCTATTTGGTTTTCTGTGTGTTGGTCAGGTGATCTCCAGGTGGCTTTGTGGATATCCTTGCGGAGAAAAAAGGTACTTCGTACTACCATTCCTCGAGAGGCTGCAAAGTTCACGCATCGTTGGCCGTTGTCGTTCGATACGGCATGCAGGCTGTTGTCCCGTCCTACCTGAGCGTTCATATCGCCGATGACGATTTTGACGTCCCGTTGCGAACAGCCATCGTACACCTGCTCCAACTGCGCATAGAACGCTTCTTTCTCGTTTTCGGGTCTCCTTTCGTGTGGGCAGTGCACGTTGATGATGCTGTAGTTGAAGAAACGGCCCTTAATCCTCAACTTGCACATTCTCGTGTTGATCGCGATTGACGCATCTTACCCAGCTCACAAAGCCAGTTCCCAGCTCGTTGGTGGTGTCAGTGCCCCACCTGTTGACTATGCCCCTCTTACCCCTACATAAAAAGCTTGATGGTCTAGTCGAAAGCATAGACAGAACACGGAATAAAAAAGGCAAAAAACGATTACCTACATCGTCTGCGATGTCGACTTATATCATTCGCTGCGGGATTGGCTGCAGAGGATGATAGGAAATGTAACTAATATTCAATGTAATAGATTTTTGGTTTGCGTGTAGAACTACAAGTATTAACAAAATCATCCTCTTTTTATAAACCTTTAGCATTCTTGCATTTTCTCAACTGCGTTCCAACACGACAAAGGTTTGATTTTAGTTGGACCCAACTAGATTCAGCATCCATAAAGCACCAATCAACTTGGAGGTTAAATTTTGTCAGACCCAATTAGGTATGGCATCTGCTCAGAGACTCAATAACCTACTAGGCGACAAGGAGGTTAAAATTTGTCACAACCAACAACGTCTAGCGCCTTCTCAAAGATTGAAATTGATCTTTACCAACCCTCTGGTCCCAATTCAACTCAGGGATGTGTCAAAACCCAGTGGAAGTTGAATATTTATTGACCATTACAACACCCTTGCTCAACTTGATTTTCGAATATGAGTCCACTATGACTAAGTAGTTCACTTCGAAAAGCGAAGATTTTTTCTCGTGATTCCCCGTTCTGAAGTGCTTTTAATGAAGAACAACCCTAATAAAAATAACCATAACAGAGAGCTTAACGACGTGTTCGGGGTATCATCCAAACCAGTTTACCCATCCGGGATACAATTCGTTTATGGTATTTGTTTATTAGGGAATCCCCAGTTTAGTTTTCGTGAAGTGGATTTTAGTCTAAAAATGTTAGTTTCTGCTAAATTGGAACGCCTTTGGATACGGTTGTTTGTTCTCTGTTTTGTGGTGCGTTCACGTTCATAGTTTTCGGCTGCATTACGCGCTGCAAGGTGCGTGAAAGAGTTCGGCACAATCGGTGTTGATGTTGGCTCGCTGCTTGAAACTTTTTTTTGTGTGTTCGAAAGAAATTGATCGAAAGTGTACCAAAAGTGCTTCTGAACGTGTTTCGCAGTTGGGAGTGGTGAAGTTCGTAAATTCGCGGTTTATGTTCAGTGAAAATTCCACATCACAAAATTGCTCAACGAGTTCCCTTTTTTTGCCGTTTGATTTGGTGAGTTCGTTCCAGTTGAAGATTGTTCTTATACATATCTCGATTGCAATTTCGAGGGGACGTCCGGAGAGCTTTGAGATTTAGGCGTTGTTGCTTTTGCGGGCAGACGAGTTGGTCGCCGGTAAGGTCCAGTAAGTGCTGCCAGCAGATGAATCAAGAGGTATTCGAAACAAAATTGGTAAGAAATGTCCATTAAAATCGTTTTATTACAGTTAAACAAATTTCAAAACTATATACGTGCCAGATTTGGAAATAATATTTTTTGAATCTGGAAGTGTGTTTATGATACCATTATCCATTTGATAAAGGTAGAGTGAACATGCGGGGCTTATTGTAAGTAAAAGTGACCTCGGAGTGGTCGTGAATTACCAGGCATTCTGAAATGGGTCACTGGAGCTGCAATAGAGCTAACACCTTCTAACTCCCGGACTAAACCTGCTTTAATTGAAGGGTAATAAAAAGCAGTTTTCTTCCATAATAACACTGCCGGACAGTGGGGGTTAGATTGTACACACACACACATTACAACACCCTTGCTCAACTTAGCAACCGCAAGTTCGTAATTTTTTTTTTGCGTAGGACTACGTCTTTCGGGAAGATGGGGGTACACTTTATGAAAACCGACAAATGAAATTATGAAAGATTTTAAACGTTAATAACTTAGCTGTCCCTGGACCAATTTCAAAAAAATTATCACCAATGGATAAACTGACTGTTGATTTTTAAATTTAAACTATTGAAAAAGTGGTAAATTTCAAGCATTGTCCAAAAGTTTCAAAGTACCTAACAAATCCACCAATTACGAACATGCATATGCTGCTTCCCCAACACAGTCATCAGAGAATGGTTCCTAGATGAAACAAGTCGAAGTAACATTCGACTCCGATCTTCGGGCATGTACGAATACGGAGGATGCAATTGCGGAACATTTTCCTGCCAATTCAGAACCACACGCCCCCAACGACCACACAAAATGCTCTCCGTTTTTTTCCTTGGATTTGCGCAAAACCGTCACGGCCATGGATATCGTCTACACTCTGTAGCGACAGGGACGCACTCTGTACGATTTTGGAGGTTAAAACTTATCACCAACGTAACAAAACGGCCCTTTTTCAGGGCCACCAAGTTCATTTCAGAAAAGAGTTAGAATAATATTTATATAGAGTAACCCATGATTCACCCTTTCAATTTGTCACTAAATACATGATGATGCAAAAATCAAATAATTTTTTAGGGAAATAAATTATGTTCTATTTGTAGTCTTATCGGCGGGTTAAATTTATTCCGTTTCACTTTCATAAACTGAGAAACCCTCATCGTATGCATTCTCCTGCTGCGCGACATCTTCGAAATCGTCCGAACCGTTAAATAATACAGAGTACAGAGAGTATAGACTTAAAGAGAGTACAGAGAGTACAAAAGGAGAGGAGCCAGTGCCGCTACTTGATAGTAAACTACTCATGATGGGAGGAGTCTGTGTAATTTACCGGTGTGTGTCAAAAAGAAAGGCAATCAAAATCTCATTTGTTACATGCATGGAGCATATTTTTGATTTCGCATAAATCAGCCAATTGTTTATGCCAACTATAGCTCAGTGTTAAACAAGGGGACATTTCACGCGATGGTAAAAATTCAGATTTTTTCTGTGTATAGGAGTTTGGTTTGACCTTACAGATGACCCATCTTTGCCGGGTTCAATACAAACCATATTTATAGTTCCTCAACAAAAGTCAACAATTTGTTCTGGTTTAGAATTGCATGTTTCGTCTCTAGCAAAGTAACACTAATTGGCCTATAATAACAAATGGCCCAATCTCGCACATCTGAGTGTCTGGTGATCGCAAAACAATATTTTCTAATTTACTTCGTTTTCGTTTCTCTCTGTCGTTTCAGCATCACTCCATTCTTCGGCCTCACTCGCATCGCACATATTTCATCTCATCAACGGAGAGAAAAACCTCCCGAAAACGAAAAGCCCTGGAACAATAATCGGAACAATAAAAGCCAACGATTCTCACGCCCCCTCTGGCTGTTATTCAAGTACTGAAAAAAAAGATCATAAACCAACGAGAGACACATTTCGTGGCGGCAACGGAGTGTGGAAAGATCATAAAAAAGCTCACCCTCGGTCAGAAAGACTCTTACGCACTCGGTCACCAGACACGACCGTTATTACATCACATCCCTCTCCCCCGAAAAGAAAAAAAAAATAAAGCTTTAAGTATTATTAAGTCACCCGAAGCAAAAACCATTGCGTACTTTCGGATCCGGAGCACCGGTTGACTTCCCCTAAATCAGTGGGACAACAAGACAAATCTTCTCGACGTGACCAATCCACGAACCCGGTGTGGCGTGATTAGATTGATAGATTACAATTTAATCGGGCTGTCGTCTTTTATACCCGAGAATAGCACGCAGCAGCAAGAAAAAACCGCAGAAAGGAAACTTCTGCTGATTTCGACACTAATTAGCGGGAGCACTCTCGAGGAGAGCAAAAGCGAAAAGCCTCAAAATGATTAACATTGCCGGTGTAATCAGTATTGTTTTGTTCTATGTCTTGATATTGGCCGTCGGAATATGGGCAGGTCGGAAGAAGGAAGCCGGAAACGATTCCGAGGAGGAAGTGATGCTGGCCGGGCGATCGATCGGACTGTTTGTTGGTATTTTCACGATGACAGGTAGGTGGCGCTTTCTTCATGTTTTATTGGGGGCCTATAAAAGCAAACTTTCGCATCACATGGGTAACCTCGTGGGTGGAAAATAATTATGAATTGGTTTCTGCCGTGCAAACAGGTGATCGCGTAACGTGATTCGTACTGCAGCTTTAAGCACCATCTCTTCGAACGTTTCTTGCTGGCGGCCCTCGCAACTTCTCCGCCACTCATCCAAAATCTTACCCTTCACGAACTCCTGCTTCCTCTTCTGGGCCGACTTCGAGAGCAATCACTAGCGGTTTGTACGACTCCAACAAACTTTGTGTGTATTGCTTCTAACTCCCACTGGCCAGCAGTGTTATTATGGAAGAACTCTCTCTACAATGTCACATTTATGGTCATTGTAGACAGCTTTAGTCCGGGAGTTAGAAAGTGATGGCTCTATTGCAGATCCAGCAACTCATTTCAGAATGTCTGGAGAGTCGTTTTTCGTTGTTCAAAGTTCTCATGATATCAATACCAACCATACCTAAACCAAAAAGCACTCCGCGTATTAATTACCGTTGAATTCCTTTTGGAATTTCCTTGCAACCCCTTCTAAGAATTTAATTGGAATCCTTCTTAGAATTCCCTTGAGCCTATCCGGAGACTTTTATTTCTTTGAAATTTCTTTTAACTCTATTTAAAACAGCAGAAATCTTTCGAAAATTTATTTTGAAACCCTTTGGAGCATTTTAAAGAATTTCTTTCTAATTATCAGCAAATTTTTTGCAATCAATTTTGTTGGAGTTCTCTTTCGCACTATGGTTGAAATTATTGCCAGAATACTCTTAGAACTCTGTTTCTTGTTGAATTATGATCATAATTCTCTTGGAATTCTTCTTAAAATTCATCTGTCAAACAAATCTCTTCAGAATCACGTAGGGATTTTCCGCAAAGTTTTGTTTTTCACAACTCCTTTTTAAATCTTCTAAAATTACTTAACAATTTAATTTCGAACTTGCATTCTTCTCCACTGAAATTCATCTAACAATTTCTAAGGATATCATGTCAGAATTATTCTGGAAATCTGCTCAGATTTTCTCCTTCGAAAACTGTGTGGGAATCCTTTTCAATATTTGTTTGAAATCAACACTTAGAATTCTTTTAAATTTTACTAACAATTCCAGGGTTTTCCCGCTAGATTCTATAGATTGTTATGTAATATTTTATAGCATTTAAAATGCTTCAAATTCTCAAAGCATGACAATTATGACTCCACGACTCATAAGAATGATATTTTTTTTTTCAAATCTGTGATCTTGAAATTTTTTCAAAATCTCACATTTAAATTATTTTTACTCCAAATCGTACATCACGAAGATTGTTTTCAATCACAATTTTTGAAAAAAGTTCTAGTTTCAGACTCTACACAAATTTTAAAGCTCCAGAATCTTGGGAATCTTCTTAAATCACTTTTTTTTTATCTTTTCAGTAAATCCCTTTCAGCACGTTCTTAAAAATGCGTACAATTTCCTTTTTTTTGTTGAATATTAACAACCGGGAGTTTTTTAAAGATTTGAACCGGGAATTTGAAAATGAAAAATTCTCTGGCCACCCTGATGTATGTATCTTCGTTATCAAATGAATATTGGCATTACATACACGCTACCAGGATCGAAAATATTCTTTTCAAACCTGGCACGTATTTAGTTTAAGTTTTATTTTTTAAATTTTACAATGTATTTGGACTAGTCTCACCATGTTTATTTGATCCTCCAATCCCTGGGTTGATTTTCTCTAAGCTTTGCATCTCATTTCGTGATGCACCTTTGTCGTAATACTTCCTTCAACGTACACAAATCGTCTTGCATTGCCATGGTCATCTGGGAGGAAGTTCGCTTCTAGTGCTTTCCCCAGGTACCTTTCGCGGCCACCAGCTACTACCCGTCCAGTCTTGGGCGTATCCAGCGAGGCATCTTTCATATTGCTCGAAATCTCCGACACGAAAAATTTGCAGATTCACGGTAACGTCGGCCACCGAATCAGCACAAAAACTCGCGACGGACACATTATCTACACATTCCCGGCCTAATTCACCAACCGGTCCGATCTCGCTTGCCGAAAGTGTAGCATCCGAACTCGGAGAACCGGGTTCCCGGGAGGCAATAAAAACCGACACCGAACAGTTGAATTAAAGCTGCGCAGTATATTTTAGAGGTTAGATTCAAGGTCAACACGATGTATCACTAAATGATAACTTTATGAACACTTGAAACCAAATGTCTGCACACAAATTAACAAATTTACAGCAAAAATGTTTAATTCATAAAACAGTAAAAAAGGGATTATCTTCCATTTAATTCCACCTAAATAATTTTGGTATCCATGAAAGATACGTATTTCGACTACAATGTGCAGTCTTCATCAGTGACATGGGTTAGGTTTTTGTCAAGTGGGAATGACGCATCGAACACAATCGTCGCAAAATGTGGATCTTGTTTGACAACGATCCTCGTTCATTATAGCCTTAAGAACACTCCACACGATAGAAGTTTCGTCAAACGGCGCCGGTGGTGTAGTGGTAAGCGTGATTACCTCTCACCCCAGCAGGTCTGGATTCAATCCCAGTCGGCGCCGCCGGGATGTTCTGAGGCATAACATCTCTGATCACGCCTTCCTTCGGATGGGAAGTAAAGCCGTTGGTCCCCGGTTCATGAGTTGATGGGTCGATAGGTAGGGTCCAGGTGTGGGAGCTGCCTTCCTGGCACGTCGGTAGCACTGGTGCTCAGCACGGAAAACAAGATCGACGGAAAAAAACAAACCAAAGGAAAAAAAAACGAAGTTTCGTCAATATTTTCAATATGCTTATGTCAATATTTTCAACAATATTCTCGGGGGTCATCAATACAGGGTCGCTCCTCTTTAACATTGTTGTATCCGATGGAATATTCGGAGTCAAATCACAACCACAAAAGGTGGTGCATCAGTATGATTGTCAATACTTTTGAGTATTGACAATATTGTTGCCCGTGTGGTGCTTGCTTTTGAGCTTGTCCCACATCTCCTTTGCACCAGCAGCTGCTGGCTATCATCACAGTATGCAGTTTGACACTTTTATCATAAAGCGTTCTTTCCAATTCAATAACTTTTCTCGATAAAAGTGTCACTCAAGTCCACACAATCGCACTTCCAGTTTTCAGAGTCCAGACTCATCAATCAACAAAAGTTTACTTTCGCGCCCACACAGGAGGGAAACACAAAAATAAACATTCCTACTCGAACAAAACAACCCACTCGCGATTCCAACTTGCCGTTTCGTATTTCGTCCCGTACCACAGCTACAGACTTGGTCAAACTTCACTGCCAACAGCACAATCTTCAGACAAAATCTTTCAGCTGTAAACACAACAGCTCTTGTACCCGCCTGGGGAAATCGTCTCGAAACGATTCCCACAATATTTCAACGCAGTCCAAACAAAATTTAACTTTTGTAAGAGTCACTGATAAAAGTATGTGGAGCCTCCCTTAGATCAGTCCTCGGGGAAGTTTACCGAACGAAAATAAAAATTTTGTTCCACCTCGTTTTTATTTTTCTATAATTAAAAATCCCAGAAAATAAGCATTTTAGAATCTTGAGAATATTTACATGTAAAAAAAGTTTTTCAATCTCATTATGAAAAAAAATGAAAAATGTTTTTATATATGAATTTTCTGATTATCAAAAACGCCTGTTGCTAGCTATGTAAACAGTTTTTAGATTCATGTGATAGGGAACAGCCGTTTACCTTGTTTTGGAAACTTCGACCAAAACAATATGTGTTTACTAAAGATTCATAGGCATTGAATGTTTGCGCTTCATGAAAACAGCAAATTTTTATTTGACCATTAAACATGATGACATTTTTGAGTAATTAAGAACTTACGTAAATTTGGCTTCCTGCAGAATAAACAAGGTGAATACACTTGCGTCCGGTTTTCAACACACTATTTGATGAATTTGATGATGAATTCCTATAACCAACAGTTACTGACTGATACTTCAACGAACTTTAGCAACTCTCTTTGTTCAAATCAGGTATAATATCTTCAACACATATCTATATATACCTAAAATCGGTTTTTAAAATGCGTTATTAGGTATAGATAGTGGCGACGATCGCCCGAACGATCTGTTTCATACTGTCGACCAGATCGTTTGACGTTTCAACTCAGACGACACCTTGATTTTAATAAACCTAATTTAATTTGATTTTATTATAATATAGATCAGTGCAGTGTTGGGAAAATATCAAAAAATAAAATCTCACCAAAGCCCAAGATCACGCTTGATTTTCGTAGACAAAAATCAACAAGCAAACTACTGCCTTTGATTTTGCAAGCTGTGATATAGGGAAGAGCGCTACTTCGTCGTAATCGCCCATTTCCGTTCTATCGAGCAGAAATCATCAATAATATCAATGATTTCACCATGCACAAAACAATAATACGTTTGTTCCGATGCGTTAGTTCATTAGCTACGACATAAATCCTATTAGAGCGCATTGTATGCATATTTACGCTCATTGATCTCAAAACCTCCTAGATGCTCCTAGCGCATCCCCTTTTTCTCCGTTTATCCGTAGGACGAAGGAAATCTAATGGCGTTTCAATGCGTTTGGACGGAATTGAAACGCGTAGGACGAATTTAGAAGCAAGAAGCAGTGTTAGATTTTTAATAATATCTCAACATTGTTTGACTCTTTATCAAATCCAACGGTACGTATGGAAAGGTGGATAAATTTAGAAGTTATCTTTGATGAAAACATTCCATGTTTTGTTCAAACGCTTTCCAAAAAGCGTGGTAAAGTGCGGGATGTCCTTAGTAGGACGGAAATTAGATCAAAAACTCTAGCAGCTCGGAATATCAAGCTAACATAACTCACCAATTGCAAATCTCACCAAACTGTGGTGAGATTGCGTTTAATGATATTTGTTTTACACCCAAATGCAACCGAAACTTCCATAACGGCTTGCAGCAGTCCCTTCGCGTCTGCCATCGGTGA